GCTCTTTGGTGTTCACCATAGTGGAGTTTGGAGTGTGACTGTTTGAGGTTGTGGACAGGTGTCTTTTATACTGATAACAAGTTCAAACAGGTGCCATTGATACAGGTAATGAGTGCAGGACAGAGGAGCCTCTTAAAGAAGAAGGTACAGGTCTGTTAGAGCCAGAACTCTTGCTTGTTTGTAGGTGACCAAATACTTATTTTCCACCATAATTTGCAAATACATTCGTTCCAAATCAGCCAATGTGATTTGTCTGGATTTGTTTTCTCATTTTGTCTCTCATAGTTGAGGTCTACCTATGATGCCAATTACAGGCCTCTCATCTTTTTAAGTGGGAGAACTTGCACAATTGGTGGCTGACTAAATACTTTTTTGCCCCACTGTAATTGCAGATCATTGAAGCTCCATCAGTGTGCAAAAACCACTAGCTGCTACAGCAAAGTGAAGAATATAAGAGTGCGTTTAGACCGTATCTGTTAGAAACACTGAACAATTTGTAAGTTAGGAATACCTGTATAATATAACACCAGACAATTTGGAAGTTGTTGGATGATATGATGCTGACCTGATTTGTATAGGATTATCCTCTTTCCTTATTTTTCAGATGTGCAGAGTGTTCCGGTTCCAGATCATGGATTCCTGTTCCCAGAATATGAAATTGTCACAGAGCCTGAGGAGACCGATTCCGATGACGGCATGGGAATGGATTCGGACACTTTAACATCAGAGGACATTTCCTCATGTATTGGTAAAAAAATGACATCTGGAGAGGGCTTTTTTTTCTTTTCAAAATGAGAATTGTATATCTCCCCAAAATAAAAACTGTATTGAACAGTTGCACAGCTGCCCAGATCACTTGCTCGAAAACAGGCAGCATCCCTGCACTACATTTAACCCTGCTTGCCTGCGGAAGGGCTAATTATAGAAAGAAAAAACCCCTGTCCGTTGCCCGTAACTGCATGTGTCGGGCGATAGAAATTCTGCACGCCTGATATAACTCTATCCAGTAAAGAAGACAAGCCAAAACATTATATTCACTTTTCTTCATAGAAACCTGTAATGCGAGGAATCCTATATGTGGGCTGCTGTTGCTGATGTTTGTCTGAAAATCGTAGTTGCATTGCCATGCTTGCCTTTAGTAGTTGAGATGACTGAACAAGAGTGCAGATGGCGAAATCAGAACTCCTGATCCAAGTATTGGGCCTGGTCAGTGAGTCAAATTATTATAGCCACTCAATAGGCATGACAGCCAGGCAAACTAGAGTTTTCATGAAGTCATCAATGCAAGGCTGCATGTTGGTCTCTACAAGTTTTCTTTGGTTATGGTTTGCAGGGCCGGTGCTGCCACCAGGCAAACTATGCAGCCGCCTAGGGCTCAGTGCTACCTAGGGCGCAGCCTTGACCATTCACCTCCCACGGCGCCCACAGTCTAGTTCAAATTGCAAAAGCCAATAGCAGGCTGGCTATTGCACCAGCCCACTGAGCAGAGGAGTGTAACTGAGAGACAACTTTCTCAGGTTCGCGCCTCTGCTCAGTGGGTAGGGTTTCAATAGCCAGTCTGCTATTGGCTATTTCAAATTAAATTACATCACCTGTCACCTGCAGACGCTAACCAGCAGGAGAATGGGGCTGCGCGGAGGGGGAGGTGTTTTGGGGTTGCGCCACGGGATGGGGGGTGCAAGTAGCTGCTCTTGCCTAGGACGCAAAATAGTTTAGCACCGGCCCTGATGGTTTGAACTTTTTAGGGCTCATGCACACTGAAGGGTTGGGGCATACAGTGTAAACATTCAGGCTTTTTTTCCACATCTGTGAAGAACAGATGGTATGTACAGACTTTCTGCGTTTGGGGAATTCATCTGTTTGCCATACATGATTTTACCAAGTACTGGCATATACCTACATACAGCTGCCACAGCCATTCATGTCTATGGGCGGCTGGACACACCACTCTGGATTCCCAGATGAGGAAAATCTCAAGTTCTTACATTGTATGCCCCAGTGCGTCTGTGTGCATGAGCACTTATTGTGATTGGAAAGTTCTGGTTGTAGCTTAATCTTGTTCACCTAGATGAAAAAACTAACAAGCTGTGTACTTTTCAGAATCGTCAATGGATGAATTAAAATTGGATGAGAGTGAATTGAGTGCCATGGCAAAGCAAGAAACCAAAGAAGACAAGGTTTTTAACAGGTTCAAGAAAAGGATTTCATTCGAACCTGAGCAGGTAAAGCTGCTTCATCTACATTATAATCTATACGAGCAGCTAAATACAAAAGTGAAATGCATGTGTGGAAGATGTTTTACGTACCAAAGTATTTCTATGCAGCCAGTTTTGTAATTTAGTTACCCCTGCCAGATGACACCGACATATCCTAACCTACTCAGCGCGGTCATGAACACACCTCAGCCTGCAGATTGGAAAGTAAAGGAGCTGTAGTTCACAGATTTGGTCATCTCTGCCCTCTCCTACTGTGATCTTGTTCCCTGTCAACTCACACATACTACAAAAGAGCCTGATTTCCCCTTACTGCCGAGACTTACTCTTCCAGTCTGCGTGCTGTTGTACAGAGGATTATTGGGGGGTGATATGGAAACTTCAGGTATTTTTGCTAGTTGCACAAAATACATTTAGGTGTTTTTGTTTTTTTTGTGTGTGAATATGTAGCTGCATAAAACAGAACTGTGATACCTCCATAAAGAGGAGCTGTCAATGCTACCACATAGAACGCTTATCAGCCCCCTTGTCATTGCAGCAAATTGGGGTAAAAAAATGACAAAATTATCAATTAAAAAACAAAAAAGTACCCTCTCTTCATATGGGCACATACACAGCCATGTCCCGTGTGTACACATGAACCATTATTGTACTTTACACATCCCCACCAATAAAAGAACTTTAGGGCCATTTTTTTTAGTTAAACTTTGAACGGATGGGCTGTTACTGTTTTTAATGTGTCCCCTGTTTACACTTTTGGCTCATTTTTGTTTTTGCAGTTTCACAAACGCACATTATTTTTAGCCTAGCAACATTTTTTTAACTTTACCTTGTTTTCAATGGCCCTACTGTACAAATGCTATCCCAGGCAGGCTGATAAACTAAGGCCAATGTACTGGAAAATGCCTAATCTGTAGAAATCTAAATTATACACATTTATCGACCATGCGGCGCTGACGTCTGGAACAAAACATGCACATATTTGGGGGTCTCTCTACGTCAGGTAAATAGAAGAAAATTATTTAGTGAAATAGTAATAATTATACAAAGTACATTACATAGTAATCAGATCAAAACTACAGTTTTTCACATTTTCAGCGTATAACTAAATAATGCGCTGGATATTAATACTGTTTGCCAAGACATATTTGTCCATAAAACAAACGTTCTTTTGGTAGGAACATAGTTATTGTGGGGTAATCAGTGCACACTGACACTGCTAAATTTGTTCTGGACATCCAGGTTTTGATGACCCCTGGTCATAAAAGGGTTAAACAAATTCACTTTTAGCATCATATGTGCTAATGATTTCTATCCAATTTGCTGCAGGTTCTGAGGTACTGTAAAGGTGGAGACCCCCTCTGGCTGTCACTCCAGCATGTCCCAGAAACGGATGACATTCCTGAATGTGCATGCGGAGCCAAGAGGATGTTTGAATTCCAGGTACATGTGTACTGTATGGTATTGCATTGTGATGTCACTTATTTAGGAAGAGGAGTGTTTATCTTCTACTTGGGTATTTATTTTAATTGTACTTTGTGCCATCTTGGGACCAGTCTTTGAACTGCTTTACAAAACAATCAAAAGCTAAAGCTGGGCTAAGGACAAAAGTCTGAGTTGTTTTTGTTTTTTTCCCCCCCTTTATTATCTGAATTGCTTTCTATGTTATATGATCCTCAGAATTTTTTTCCAATAACTCTATTGGCTTTAACTCTATTTACGCAAGAGTCACACAACTTCCACCCAATTGAATCCATTTAGAAAAATGTGTCAATCCTAGGTGAAAGTTTTTCATGAATCTTGGGTGAAAACCATATAATAGACCCCTCAGTGTATAACAGCATTCATGCATAAAACAAAGACTGCAATAGTCTGAGACTTGCTTGCTGCTGTAGTGTAGCTGCTACTTTTATGCTATCTGATTCTGCTTGTAAAGTCAAGTGATGGACTTGGAACTCTGATCTAGAAGACTGTGGACAGAGTGTTTATGAATTGGATTACTGTGAAGGTCGGTCTTGGACGAATGCAGTGTTATAATCTGTGATGGGAACTTAGAAGGATAAACTGTGCAGGAAGTCCAGAGATGGCTTGTAACTTAGATTCTCATACATCGTTCCGGCAAAGGAAAGCAAGGATGCCTTCTGTCTCTGACTGTAATGCCTTGTATTCATATGCCTGGGCAACCAGAGCCATATATTACATCTCATCTTTGGAAGGTGCACAGAGAATCTATATTCTGTTAGGCCAGCTGGAGAGTGTATTGGGTAGGGATGAGTTTAGGTTTGGGCCAAACCCAGTCTGAACCTGTGCTTATCTAAACACTGTAGCCATATGGGCCTTCCACCCAATCAGCTGCAGGTCGGGGCATTCCGCACCCCAGAGCTGACCATAAACAAAGGGGTGGGATCCCTGTGCAGACGTCATTTACCTTATAAGGCCATAAAAGGTAAATATAATTTACCTTGTATAGCCATGTATCCGTATAATGTCAATAACTTCACTGCACCCTTCCCCTTTGGTTATATGTCAAGCTGCGGGCAGGGAATTCTCCACCTGCAACTGATTGGGCAGCATGGAAGAAACTTTGTTGCATGTTCAGGAGGAGCTGCTTCTGGGTTCAGGGGAGCTCTGGTTTACACTGGGTTTGATCCGAACCTGAGCTCATTCCTACGATTGGGAAAGTCCAATCTTGCTGCTTGGCCCCTCGGGGTTCTGTCTTGTAATATGAGTAAGTATAATTGGGTACTCCTAACGCACCTGTAAAATCTAAACAACTGATTATTGTAACCTTTTTTTATCTAGGTCATGCCACAGCTCTTGAACCATCTGAAAGTGGACAGTCTTGAAGGAAGCATTGATTGGGGTGTTCTAGCAGTCTACACGTGTGCTGCCAATTGCAATGCAGAGAATCATTATGTGGAAGAATTCCTGTGGAAACAAGATGTGCCAGGAAACAGCATGTGAAATATGCTAATTGCAAATCTGCGCATAGCATTTTGGAGGATAGTTTTATTTATGGAAGGTGTTTAATATAACAAAGTTTTTGTTAACTGCACTTTATATTACAAAGTTCTGTTTTAAAAGGAAAAGTTTTTTTTCTGTATAGATGGAAGTACACTTTTATAGAGTAAGGCTTTACCTTCATGAATACGTCATCTCACTAGGAACACAGTAAACCCCATTAATTTAAAATAGGTATAAACAAAAAACATCTCAGTAGCCAAAAAAGGTAAAATGATTATATTGGACCCTTGCTTTAGGCTTGCTCATCTGGCTTGCAGCCTCCTGGGAAAGTCAAGGAATCAAAATCTTAAAAGAATGTGTTCCTGGCCTTTTTTTGTACACTTGGCCCACAACACCGCCTAATAGTTACCATATTTGTTTTGTGAAAGTTCTGCTTAAAGGCATGTGATGTGTCAGCCCTCAGCTCTACCATTTCCTAGTTGGTTGGCAGTCTGGATATAGTATGACTTACAGTATGTTCTACGTTTTGTTGTGCAAAGTTGACAATTTGAAATTTCCTTGAATGTTGACGGGAAGTGCTGAGGACTAGATGACTGCTATGGCTTTATGCATTCACCTTGATAGTGCCTTATGACACATATCCGGGAAAAGCAGATTCTGTTTCGCACACGGTTGTTTCCATAGCTACAGAGTCTTAGATTTTGCTAGGGGTGCCTGTGGCTGCCTCACCTGATCTGTTCTATAGGTGGACATGTATAGTCTAAATCCATCAACCGACACTTTCAATGTTGAATATCACTTGTGAGACTTGGACTATTTCTAGCCTCTCAAAGCAGAAATAACTAGTGCCTACCATGATGCACAGGTTGATTTTCCAGCCTGTTAGAAAACGTCCCTGCCTGCTGTACACGATTAATAGCATTGCCTATGTGCCACAGTCAGGCAGAATTCTGGGAAGCTCTCAGTGCTCCACCAAATTGCTGGAGGACAAGCAGATATCTTGCTGCTTTTTGATCTCTGGTTGGTATTTGAATGTCTGTGGTTGCCCTTGGCACGCCCAGAGCAATATGAGGGAATGCATTATACAGCATCTCTGATGAATATGTGCCAGAGCACACTGACAAGTGTCAATGAGCTGAACACTTGATGTTCCAGAACCTGAGGTATATTCAGCTCGTAAATGTTGTTTTGTATTGATACCTGCATCCATCAAAGATATCTTTAGTCTGGGATAGATGTTTTCATAGACTGCCTAAGAGTGCTAACCTGAGGTAGTTGGGTTCCACTGGGTACTATTAGCAAAAACCTTTATGGACCCCAAGATGTTGCATTTCTTGTTTGACATTTTACTTTTCTTAGGCCTTATTCTCATATTAAGCCTCTCATCGTTTTTCAATCTGCCTTGCTGTACTTTTCTTGCCTTTTGATGCAAAATATTGAGTGTTAAACATGTATGCATTGTGTTATTAAAAAATGAAGGAAGCCTAACATTCCTCAGTAGCATGCGATATGGAGATAGTTCTTACAGACACTTTATATGAGGCTGCTTGCCGTTTCTGTAGTGGTTGTGTTAGCAAACTGTTCTAAAAGATCTGGATAAAATGTCATTTTTAGATTGAGTATATTGCACTGGTAATCTTGAGAGGAAACTTCTGCTATCTGCTTTGTTTGTCCTGCTGCAGAGAGAAGGATGAAAATGTAAAGTGGCTCAGAAGCAAGCATATATGCATTTGTATGTAAAGCTTGGCCACCTTGTCAGTCAACACTTGGGTACACCCTTAAACCACAACCTCCAAAAGTGTCTTCGAGTCAGTTGTCTTTGTTCTTGCGTTAGAATTTTTTTACCTTGCAGAGTGCTACTAGGCCATAACTATGCCTACATTGTCTTGTATGTACTGCATACGTACAACGTTGTCTGTACCACCAAACCCCCCATCGATACTTTTTCCCACATTCCCTTGACACTCCATTTGCCTTGGACCTCTAATCCTGGGTGTAAGCTCTTGATCAGTCTAGAGCAGAGCTCATGCTGGGGTAATTACCGCTCCTGGCTTTATGACATTGTTTAGGCCTGGTGTTTGGCAGTCCAGGTCCTGCTTCTTGGTAGTATAGGGAGAAGGTGCATGCTACTCTTGAATGAGCATTTTGTTGTTGCATTTAATGCTTACTAATCAACTTTATGATTTAGGCCTCGTTCACACCAGATGCAGTGCGTTCCGGCCTGATTCTGGCCAGAACGCACTGCCTCGCACTGTGGACGTCTCACTTTTTTGTGGGGCAGGAGGGGGGTGTGGTGGGCCATTGAAGTGAATGGCAGTGTAGCCACGCCCTCCGGCTGCAATGCAATGCCTCCTGCGCCACAAAAAAGTGAGCCGTCCGCAATGCGAGGCAGTGCCTTCGGGCCAGAATCAGGCCGGAATGCACTGCATCTGGTGTGAACGGGCCCTTAGAGTTATACAAAGTCTTCATACATCTGTATTGTGCTTGACTTCTTCAGTTGGGTTGTCAGTCTGCATATTCCTATACCAGGGCTTACACTTAGATCAAACATAGCACTTTTTAAAAATGAATTTTGCAGTCCTTGATTTCCAGTTTTGCATTCATTCACAGGTGATATGCATGTAAAAATAGTTATTGTTTCTGAATACAGAATAGCAGTTTGTCTAGTCTCGCAGCCTAGTCCAAGCTAAGCAGCACGTCAGTTTACACACCCTGACTTGCAAGTAACATTACAGAAAGGGAAATGAAGCCAACACCTGGGATGTGCAGTTGTTCAGCTTGGTCTTGTTTAACAGAGCATGAAAACCCAGGCACTATGTAACAATACAAAAATAGCCATGTGAAATATTGTGTCTGTTATCTGTCAGTTCTGGTTCTTTCAGCCCTGTGCGAGGTATTCAATAAATGTTCTGTTTTTGTCATTCATTTTCTTTACTTTAAAACATACAATTAGGGAACTACATAGTTTATATGATTTTATTTATCAAATGTCACTACTGGACTCAACCCAGCATGTACACTGACTTTCCATTACTCTATAATGATAGTGAAGATTTGTGAACTGAATTTTTACACCCACTATTAATAATTTCCTTTTGAGTCTATTGAGGGACACAGGATGTCTTTCACCAATGGTTTATAGTGCTGCCTACAGCAAAATTGGGACACTGGCAAACAAAAATTAGCAGAAGTATGGGGGGGTGTGCTCCCATGCCCTAGATTGGATTACTCTTAAGAGACCAGGTGCTGAATGTCAACAGGGGCTTGTCCTATGCCCCACAGAGTGCACAAATCCAAGATTAAAATTATCTGCCCTCTGGGAAGATTCAAACACTGGTAATTTTAATTCATTCAGACCACACAGATTCATTTCACCCACAAGACTAGGCTAAGCCATAGATCAGCCCAGGAGAACATCCCCTACATGCCTCAGTTTTGTAGCAAAGCAATATTGCTACTCTTTGCTGTCCATTTCTCTTCTGAACTGTCCAAAAGTTATCCATCTGAGGGGTTTGCAACAGCAAATGCTAACAGGCACATACACTTAGGACTGCCTGCAGTTTAAAGAGCCAGCTAGAGGACCTTATTCTCAAAGCTGGCATCAAGTTAGAACTTGAAGAGCATGTAAACAAAAGACCAGGTAGCAGCCTTGAAAATCTGAGAAACTGTAGCCCGATGCTGAAAAGCCCAAGAAGTACCCAGTGATCTAGTAGAGTGTGCTTTGAAAGGAAAAGGTGCAACCCAATCCTTGAAGATCATAAGTTTGAATGATAGTCTGTCGGAGCCAACAAGACCTCTGTAAGCCTTTATGAGGTCCATCCCAAATTACAAAAAGGAAATCGGTCTTACTGAATTAATTTTATTGTAAACGGGAGCTAGATAGAAGAACGATGATGTCCCACTTGAGGTGAAAGGCAGAAGACAGCCTTGGGTAAGAACGACCTAGGTCTCAACACCATCTTGTCCCCATGTAACACCAAAAATAGTTCCTTTTGGGAAAAGGCAGACACTTGCCTTGCTGAAGGGATGGCTACAATGAACACCTGGGAGAATTGTCTCTAATGGGTTCAAACAGTGATTTTTGATTTGCATTTAGAGCTCAAGGAAACACAGGCAAATGAACAGTGAGCTATATTGCAGACTCCCTGTATAAAGGTCTTAATCAAGGAATGACAACCGTCTGAAAAAGGATAACAAAAGCAGAAGCCTGACACTGGATAGCAGCAAAAGACTTGCAAGACTTCTTGTTCCACTATGATGGTTAATGTACACCACTGCCATAGGGTTATCGGACTGAATTCAGATAGGATGACCCTCCAGTGCTGCAGAGAAGAAAAAAAAATCTCAAAGTTTCAGGATGTTGACAAGGAGGCAAGATTCTTCGAACAACCAAGTCCCTTGCACCAACAGGGTTCTCAGGACTCCCCAGCCCACCAAACTTGCATCTGTCGTGATGATCTTCCAGATTAGAAGGAAAGATTTGTCTGATTCCTGAGCCACCAAACCAGGGACAACTTGGTCCTCTATGACAAGTGAATCAGTCTGGTCAGGGACTAGACTAGTTTGTTCCTGCTGATATAATGGTGCGTTTTAAGGGTCTGGAGTAACGTTAGCCTCCTTTGGGGCAGCCCCATCATGCAAAAGTGACAGGCAGCAGCAGGAAGGAGAGCAGCTGCACGGAGTTGCGGCGATGGCAGGCTTGAGAGCGGCTGCACAGACTTGAGGCAGCAGGGGCGATTGAAAAGCAGCTGCACAGAGATGCGGGATTGAGTGCAGCTGCAGACTTGGT